TCACTTGCAACACTATAAAATGTAACACCTTTAAAAAACCTTTCCGACTAGAGACATTTTGGTGCCGTCATCCGAATTTCATAAATTTAGTTAGAAACAGTTGGAGTAACTCCAACTATATTCATAGCTCCCAAAACTTTAGAGGTAATATCATACAGTGGAATAGGAAGCATTTTGGAGACATTCACCTTAAAAAATCTAGGATTATTGCTAGACTAAACGACATTAAATGCTCTAATAACTATAACTCCAATTTTTATTTATAGAATTTAGATCTAATCTTCAACAAGAGTATAGAGAGATTCTTAAATTAGAAGATGAATACTGGAGAATTAGATCCAGAATGTCCTGGATTCAAGAAGGTGACGCGGATACAAAATTCTTCCATATTGGTGCAACCAATAGAGCTTGGAAAAACAAAATCGTTTATTTCAAAGACGAATTTGGTAATTGGATCAATGAACCTAACAAAATCCTAGACCACACACTCAACTACTTTGAGAATGCCTTCCAAACTGATCATTCTGCCTCCAATTGGTCTCTTATTAAAAACAATCCAAAAACTTTTAACAACCTTGATCTCTCTACCCTGGACAATCATCTTGCAAAGGGAGAAATCTACAAGACAGTCTTTTCCTTCAAACCGTTTAAATCCCCGGGTCCAGATGGCATACATCCCTTTTTCTAACAGAAATATTGGAGCATTGTAGGCAAATCAGTTATAAATTTATGTACCCAAGTATTTAATACTCAATCTCTACCTAATGATATCAACAACACCTACATTTGTCTAATCCCCAAAGTCCCAAATGCCAATAATCTGAAAAACTTCAGGCCCATAGGACTTTGCAATACTATTTATAAAATCATTACCACAATCATTGCCAATAGAATTCAACCTTTCCTCAACCAAATTATAAGTTCTTTCCATCCTAGCTTCTTAAAAGGAAGAAGGTCTTCTGATAATGCCATCATAATCTAAGAAATGATGTGCTATTTTAAAAAAATGAAAGGGAAAAAAGGCTACATGATTCTAAAATTAGATCTGGAAAAAGCTTTCGACAGATTGGAATGGTCTTTCATCTACTTAACCCTTTCTTACTTCTAATTCCCTACTAACATAAAAAAATCTTACTATGAATTGCATCAGCACTAGCAACATTGCCATTTTAGTAAATGGCACTACAACCTCTTTCTTTGCACCAAGTAGGTGTATCAGACAAGGTTGCCCCCTATCCCCTTTCATATTCATTTTGTGCATGAAAATGCTATCCTGACTAATCTGTCACCAAGTTGACATCAATCTTTGGGACCCCATTAGATTAAGCAATCATAACAATAGCATCTCACTTATTTTTTGCAGATGATATTACCCTCATGGCAAAAACTGATAAAAGAAACCTACAAACCATCAAAGAATGCCTTAATATTTTTTGCAATATGTCTGGTCAAAAGATCAATAGAGGAAAATCAAAGATTTTGTTCTCCCAAAACTGTCCTATTCAAGTTACCAAAGAAATTGCATCAGGTTTTAACATCAATATAGCCAATAAGTTTGGCAAGTACTCGGGGTTTCCAATTCTTAACAATGCTCCCAAAGCAAAAGACTACCAATTCATCATTGAGAAAATGCGGGCCAAACTTTCAAATTGGAAAATCAATTTTCTAAACATAGCTGGTAGGACTACCTTAGCCCTTGCTACTCTCAACTCTACCCCAAACCATGCTATGCAATATACTTTGCTCCCAAAAAACCTTTAAACTTATTGATCAAATTCAAAGGAATTTTATTTGGGGCACTACATCAAATCAGAAACAACTTCACCTTATTAATTGGAACACCGTTACCAAGCCTAAAATTCTAAGAGGTCTAGGAATGAAAGATGCCCTTTCAAATAAATTTTGTTTTACTAGGTAGTCTCTCTTGGAGACTCATTAACAATACCTCATCACCCTGGGTTACTGGCTGGGAAATTTGTAACTAAGGAATTCAATGACTTCCGGGCAAAAGCTCTAATCTTAATAGTTGGGAGACCCAATGGATCCCTCAAGTCTCAACTCTTAGAGCTAGCATTGAGGGCCCTCTAAACAAATATGAAGCTAACCTTCCTATTAAGAGATTATACCATAAAGGAAGATGGAATTTCAGGAAACTTCTTTTACTATCCCTTCCTCTATCATGGACAAAATCAATTCTATCCCCTTACCCCTCCAAAGCATAGATAAACCTCTTTGGAGTCTCAGCCCAAACGGGATATTTAACACAAAATCTTGCTACAACTTACTAATCCAAGGGGACATTAGTAACCAAGACTTTGTGTGGATATGGAAACTACCTTGCCCTAACAAAATAAGATACTTCTTTTGGCAAATCCTTCATAATAAGATTCCTTGCCGTTCATATCTCCATCGCATTGGAATAAATATAAACCCCAATTGCTCTAGTTGCAAAAACCAAGAGGAAACCATTGCTCATATTTTCCTCACATGTCCCATAGTCTCAGCGATATGGAGACAGTTCAATATCACAAATATGAACACTGATCCGGACAAACACTGGCTAACCAAGCTGAGAGCCATAAACCCAATTCCCCTGAAAATTCTTTGGAACAATCTCCTACCTTTCCTTCTATGGGGGAATCTGGATCAATAGAAACAACAACAATATCAATAACACCCACTAATCCCCCCGTATGAAAGACATCTCTAACCTAGCCTATGAATTCCTCTTTTTCAACTCCACTGGCACAACAACGGTCGATAAACCCAGCATTAACATAAAATGGTATCCTCCACAACACGACTGGTACAAACTAAACACGGATGGTGCTTTTAAACACGAAGGTAATAAATCTGGTATTGGGGGAGTGTTCCGCAACAACAAAGGAAGATGGATATTAGGTTATCAAAAAATGGATAAAGCTATATCACCTCTGCATGCAGAACTTCAGGCAATCCATGAAGGCATGAAAATAGCAACCCATTACAACCTATTTTCACTAGAAATCGAAACAGACTCCAGTGGTGCTATCCATGCACTTAGTGATGATCATCTTGTTATGACTAATATTATTCATGCATGCAGGTTATTGATGCTCCAGCGGAAGGACCTGTCCCTACGGCATAACTTCCGGGAAGGAAACCAAGTAGCTTATCTTTTGGCAACAGATGCAAACAAAGACACCTTTTGGCAACCATGCAAGAAGTCAACAAAACTACATTCAGCACCACCTCATTTTGTTAACTCTCAACTTGCTAAAGATATGAATGTTGTTTACCTTTCTAATAAGTCACTAGACATTACGGCTTGTAATAGACTAATACTCCTAAGCAACCAGAATGTCACAAATATTGGGCTACCAAGTCGTGACAAGCTGCATTCTCAGATCTTATGTACTAAGAACAATCTTTAATGCTTCTATAATGTAAATATCCTTATTATAAAAAAAAAACAATGTTCTTTTCCTTTCAATTCTTTTCTTCTGGTTATAAACTTTTACCCATTCAATTGATTTAAATTGGTAGCTTTCCAAAATAATATAATGCTCGTCTAATTTATATCAAGACCAACAAATCTCATTGTCAATTGAGGTATGTTTAATTAAAATCTTATAATATTTTCTCATGTTTCAATTCTATTCACATAATAAAACCATCAAACTATACCCTTTTAAAATACAATTAGAAACGTAATAAAATGAGTTTATCCGAATAAGCTATCGCGCTGCTAAATGTTGGACTCCTTATCTAGACAACGATAAGGTAAAAGAGAGAGAAAAAATCTCAATCAATTCAATCTATCTAGTCCAAATATAATGTTGCTGATTTTCTTTTCAAAAATTAAAACTAAACCTCTAGTATGCAAAAAAAATGAAAGGATCAACTAATTTCTATACGATACGATTTCAAGATGGCATAAGATATAAGTGCATGAACTAAATTTAACCTCTCCATTGCAACTAAATTTAAATCCTAGGAGCTGGCTGGGTTCTTTTTTTCTTAAAAATACAAATATCAGGGACCTATAGAAACGTTGCATACAAAAAATTTAGCCATTTCTTGCACCTATAAAAACAAAATAGAAAATTACCATTAATATAGAGAAATACATATAGAAAAGATTGTTACTCCATTTACTTAGTACTTTAATTAATTATTTTGTAACTGAAGACATAATGAGATGTAATAAACAGAATAGAAAATGATTAATTTCCAATTATTAAACAAATTAAATGAAAAGAATGAAGACAAATAAAGGCAAAAAAGGAGAAAACAGATAAATAGGATCTTTGGCCAAAGAGAGGTGCCAAGTCACATTTTCTATTCCATCAATTATATAGATATATAGATTGATACCAAAGTTATTGGGACCATCTACTATCCTATTCACTTTGGAACTCGACTAATTTGGATTCACACTGAAAATTCCCACTTTGGAGCTAAAACGCTTCCTATCAAACACTACAAAAAAAATAGTGTTTAGCGATGGCCGCATTCCGTCGCTAAATCAATGTTTTTCCGTCACTACAGTTGTTTTGCGACGTATTAGCGACAGATTCAAGTTGGTCCCTAAAATGCTCGTAGCTAAGCTTATAGCGACGAAAAATACCAAACCGTCGCAGAATTAGCGACGGATTAGCGACAACATATATCTGTAGCAAAGTTTAGCGAGGGAAATAATCGTCGTTATTTTGACGCCTTTCGTCGCTGCAATACATAACAAAATTCGTCGTTTGTTCTTATAGCGACGAAATCGTCCGTCGCTAGTCATATTATAGCTAATTCTTCCTGCTTTTTTTGCAACAAAAATATTTTGTCGCCAATTCGTCACAAGATTTAATTTTACGCGATAATTTTTTAGCTATGAAAAGTATCCGTCGCTAATTATTTTTAATATATTGCTGATTTTTTTTATTCTTTTTATTTATTATTTTAAATGTACTCTGTTCAAGTATATTACATAAAAGCTATTAAATACACTAAATAAAAAGGCACTGATATAAGTATAAATTAACGATATATTCAACAAGGTCCAAAATATATAGCATAATGCATATAACAGTATCATTAATTACAAAAAATTCACAAGGACCAACAATAAAGTCCTAATAAAGTAGGCTAAACATGCGAAGCTGGAGAGTTATGGTCATCATCAGAGCCCAATGCATGAACCTCATCAATGTTAGCAGCAGTAGAAGATGTAGGAACTGTAGGTGCCACATCTAATGGGTGGTTGGTAAGATTAGTATTTGGCTGTTGCGAGAGTAAGAAAACTAATTCGCGTACCCGCTCAACGATTACAGAAACTATATGATCTGTCAGTGCAGGAATCAATCACATCAATAACTCATCCAGATTCCCTGTTAGTGTTGATTGAGAATTTGGAGGTGTTGCTGACGATATAGCATCAGATCCAAAAAAGCCATGAAGATTTGGCCTGTAGTAGCATATTTAGAAGCCTACTTGCACTGGAACTACAATTGACGCACAAAAAAAAATAGATTACTAAAATAAGACACTTGAAGTGGTAAAGAAGCTCCTACGCCACAAATAGAAAAGAAAGATGCTTTTAAATAGTTCCAGTACTTTCTTCCAAAGTAAACATGCTTAATTAGGACTATCTCCCATTATGGATAAAGTACGAACATCACCCACCAAAATTTTGACCACATGACCCATAAAACATTTATTTCATTTTGATGAACAAGTTAATATTAGAAGATGAAAAGAGAAACCACAACCTATAGTAGCAATAAAGATTCAATGATAAGAATAAATGTGATAGAAAAAAGAAAGAAAGGAAACAAATCTTAGTAAGTCAAAGTTGTCACATGGTACTTTACTGTATTAGCTGATAAACATTACAAATTCAAATAATTTCCCATATCACAACATAAGTATCGATCAAATCCCATGATGATAATGTTCCATTCTAACTGTTTCTTCACAAGAAAAGCCCTAAACATAGATAGGAAAAAAGAAGACATTGGTATTAATTCCAAAGCCAAGTTTGGAGCTTGTCCCCTATTTTGAAGAGGGCCAAAGAGGATAGGTGAAGACAGTCAAATTTGGGAAGGACAAAAATTTCAATTGCATATATATTGGATCGCAACCCTACCGGGCAAGGCATAATTGGATCGCAAGCATTAATTGCTTTCCATAACTCAAATGACAGCAAAATAGCTTATACAATACAAAATAACGAGTTACAATCCATCAATGCTGAAAAGAAATCTCAGCTTTCAAGTTTCATATCTATCTGCAGAATACTCAAGAGCAGAAAAATTTCTAAGTAAATGAATGAATTATGCAACAGATGTTTTATGAGGAACAATATATATTCCAAAAACAAACCATAATCATATTTGTTATTCAAAGTTATGAACTTTTTCAGATCTAACCATTTTAATTCCATAGTACAAATCTGTCCAGCCTAAATCTATATGATTTCACCATGCCAAGAAGTATGCAAAGCAGAAACAGTTTAAATATTCAGGGGAGAAACAAGAGAAAATGACAAAGATATTACATTCTAAGGCAGTTGTGTAGGACAACTCTAAACAAATGAATATTAATCTTCCAACATTCACAAACTTAGACTGAATATTAATCTTTCAAGTCTTCTCTAAGTACCTTGGCCTTCTATTTAGTTAAATGAAATCACACTGAAACATTACTAGTAGAGGATAGAGCATATTTGATATCCACTTACAAGTCTCTTGCGATGCTCCCCAACACTGACAGAGCCACCTGTGTGAGTCCCAGTGGCAACTCCGCTCCCACCACAATAATTTTTTGTATTTATTTCTGAATTTTCAACACACTTAGGATCTTTCCAAAGTCTCAACCAACTTTCCCACACAGTATTTGGAATAGTGTCTGGTTGCACCCTATTTGATTTTAGTTTGCTAACAAAGTTACTGTATCTTTTTGCTGTCCTACGCTCCCATTGGATCCACACCGCACTATCAATTGAAGAATCCCAGTAGAAAGCCTTCTGAAATAATTTTATAAAGTAATAACATTAATAAGTTACATATAAAAGTTAATATACTTTCTAAATCCAAGACTCAATAAACACTTAACAATTAGCACTGAGATAACTGCCAGTAATTTCATTGGCTTTCAATGAGCTCCTCCATAAATTCACATTATGACAAAGAATGCTTACAGTTAATTCAAACATGGAAGTCATGAAGATTAAGTGGCCAACAAACCTTTTGCAAATTAAAACTCATGCGAAAATTGGTCTAATAACCCATGATTCTAGAAATGTCAACTTCATGATATTGGTCCAATACCCCATGATTGTAGAAATGTTCTTTTTATCTCGACTATATATCATAAGATAAAAATAGTATTTAACTATTTGTGTAATTTTAAATCTATATGTTCAGTTAGTGATTTAGTATTAGAATAGATCTAAACACATCACGCTTTGCCCTTTCAGAAAATTCAGTATTTTTACAGAAATATTTTATACAATTCTTACATAGGTGGACGAAAATTCTTACACAAAACACCACGAGTTCCAGTCACACAAAATTATATGAATTCTTACACAAATATTTTATACAATTACAGCTCGATTCTAACAAAAAGATAAACTCAAATCCAAACCATGCACAAAATTCATATGTTATCTAAGCACCCCCACAACAAAATTCACACAAAAGCTCAAAACTTTTTACAAAATTACTGCTAAAAAAAACAGAAAAAGCAATTTTGTAAACAATTACAGCTCAATTTCTAACAAAAAATAAACTCAAATTCAATTTATGCACAAAATAATAGGTTACCTCAACTTGTTTTTCTGGTAGTTCTTGAATGAATCCGAAGCCTTCACTATAACAAAATTGCTTCTTCTAAATTGAGAATTCTTGTGAAAATAAGATGAACCATTTGGCCTGTTTGACCAAGATTGAGAAAATGAACTCTTTTAAAGGAACCAATATGCGCGTTTTTAACATTATAACAAGTATAAAGCTGGTAACTAACAAGAAAATCACATGCATACATGGCTATTTCTGCAGAATCCGAGGGAGGAAAACAATAACAAAGGGTAGAGAAAATCTGGAATAAAGATGGAGAAACATTGAAAAGAAAACACCAAAATAAAGCACAAGACAGGATGAACAAGCTTCTCGCCTAGATCTACAATACATGAATGAAATCACAAAGAAGCTTACCTTATCAAGGACATACAATCCCTAAATCAATGCACGACTTCGAATTTCAGCTTCATGTCTGTGAGAAAAGACATGCGTGTGAGGAACTAATTGAAGCATCTAATAAAGCAAAGGAAAAAGACATTATAGCCCAAAACAGATTCTCTGTTTGGAGATTCAGGCACGCCACGGGCTCAAGCAAGCATTTCTATTTCAACCCAAGAAAAATGACAACGAATAGTTGTAAGATTCACACCCAATTTTTGGTGTTTGAAGAAAAAAAACTCACATTTGTTGAAGAAGAGTGAAAGTGGGAGTCTGATAGAGAGGAGAGGAAATTGTGTTTATGCCCTAATGGTTGGAGTCTTTTAACTAGGGTAATTTTATTTTGGGAGACGGAAATTTAGCAATGAAAATAGCGACGGACTGAAATTCTGTCGCTATTAATAATTAATGAAATTTTATTTTAGGAAATTAGCGACAAAATATTTTGTCGCAACTAACTTTCGAATGTATTGATAAGTAAAATAATTCAGCGGCAGATTTTTTGTCGTTAACTTCGTCGCTAAGTTTTAATAAATTTTGTCGCCCAAATTTCGTCGCTAATTTTGTAGGTAAAATAAATGCGCTAATATTTAGCGCCAATTTTAGCGATGAAAATATATTTTTGTCACTAATCTGTCGCTATATTTGATACGAATTATTTACTAGCTTATTTGACGACAAACTATAAAATTCGTCGCTAAACCGTCGTTATTTAGCTACGGAATATCTCTTGTCGCTAAATTTCATCGCTAAATGCTATTTTTTTGTAGTGAAAAGCAACTTAATTCCTAGGACTCCAACTTGATAAGACCGGACATCTGGTTAAGCATAGAGAAGTACTTATCACTCCACCACAATCTTTGATGGTGGAATTAAATTAGTCGTATAAACAATATTTGGTATAAGGCGGATCCACGTTTCTATCTTCTTCCTTGAGGGAAAAGTATATATAATATTTTTGCGCTTTAATCTTGTGAACAACAACTTTTTGTTCGTCCTGTTCTCCTTTTTCTTTTTTCAAGTTTCTATCTCAACAAATGGAATATTACTTGTATATATAGTTATACTGTTTTGAAGGGCAGTCCGGTGCACTAAGCTCCCGCTATAGTTATACTGTTCCCTCGAATGAAATTGAAAAATGGTTACTCCATGTAGGAATATAGTCATCATTTTCGGTACTAACAAATTTGGATTAGAAGAGAGAAAGACATGAAAGCACATACCGAATATTCATCACGTCTCATTCAATCGTTGATAGTAAGGCAATTAAATAACTCACATATATTTAACTTATGTATCAAAAAATTTTGTGCAGAATCATATACTGTTACATAAAATGAGACAAATGGAATTATTTAACGTACTTTTCTTCAGTTACAAGCATGATCTTAAAATAGATAATTAAGGTAACATTTAAAACACTAAAAAGCTTTTTTACAAATATTATCTCACTCCTTTCAAGTAATTTTCTATAGTACATTGGAATTATACTCCAATCGTACACAGGTAGATTTGAATGAATAATCTAGAAAATATGCTAAGTCACCAATCTGCTATAACGATTAAGTGTACTCGTACGTAATGATCCTTACTGATAGTGACTTTCCTCAAGAAAAGAAAAGAAACTATTGACATTAGAAAGAAAAAAAAATCTAAATAAAGAAATTTTAAAATCCAAAAATTTCGACGCTTATCTTGAAAAGTTAGTTTGAGCAATTTGAGAGTAACCAGCAATACTTGACAACAAACTAGAAAGAAATGGATTATTCTTAATACATGGGCAGATCTACATATTAATTTTGGATGCTTAAGCATACATTGACCTTGATAAGGAGTACGCATAATTATTTTGAAATATTAATGAAATGGATATAATAAGTTAACAAGCACCCACGTAACAAAAAGCTTTATGGGTGCTTTGGACAAGAAATATGGCTAAAATATTAAAGAAAGTGGGCATCGGCAGTTCGGTTCTATCATTTTAATAAAGCACTATCTTTTAGTAGTAATTAGCCATTTATAGATATCATTTGCTATATTACGGATTATAGATACCTTTTATGTGGTTATAAGATGTATTTAAGTTATTGTATTCATGAATACAATAGCAAAAATATGCGTGAGTCAGGGAAGTCCAGCTAATCGGTTGTTGTATTCAAGTTTTGACTGTATTCATGGAGTGAAATATGAGATTACAGCTGAACAAATTATTGTATTCGACTATATTCACGACGTGAAACAGGGAATTACACTGTTTTTAAAACGAAAAGTGAATCAATTAACATAATAGACTCCTAATATAACTCAACAAACTCAATTATAACACACAAATTTTATATTTTCAGTTACAAAAAAGATTCTCAACCGAAAAATACCCCAATAAATATAGCAATCTTCAGAGAAATTATATAATATATCTGAATATATAAATTATATTAATCACAAAAAACTTATGAATACATTCATGGCATATAGCGAGATAGTGAATATAATGAAATACATAGAATCTATCGGGATACATTGAAATACAATGAGAAAAAAAGACAGTGAATACAATGTAATACAACGAGATACATTGAATTACAATAAAAAAAAAGACAATGAATACATTGAAATACATGAAAATACATTTAAATATATTAATAGAAAATCAAATTGCTCAGCCCCAAACTCCATCGTCTTTGTTCAAGAACAATCCCTAATTTCCGACGAATTCGCCGTTCACCAGAAGCCAGTAGTGAAAACACACCGCCTTCGTGGAAATTTCACTCTGAATTGTTTGGTAATAAAAATTCCTTTAAATTATTAGAAGCACGCCCTAGTGGAGCAATATCGTCATTTTTGCCAAAACCTTCTGGAGAAGGATCTCAAGAATGACTCCACAACTATAACGACTAATCTCCTTTCACCTTGTACTACCACGGTACTAATGAATCTGCCATAACTATTGTACTTTTGAAAACTAATATATAAAAGCTTTCTTCTTTCAAATCTGCCATAACTATTGTACTCTCTCCATAAAGCCCAGCACCCCTCACATAAATTCAAATCTTTACGCATACAAATATATAAAAGCTTTCTTCTTTCAAAATTTTGGTGCTTTAACCAACTCTTTCCGCTTTTTTCTTTCTTGAAATAACTGGAAATTGATGTACTGAATCTTTGAACAAAAACCTAGATTTACAATTCGAAATCAGCATTTTTGAAGTGGGCTTTGCACAAATTCGATGGAAGGAAAAGGAGATCGAAAATTTTAATGGGATGAGAGAAGAGAATGGGATGCATAAAAGTAGAGAGAGAAAGAAAAAAGTGTAACTGATTAGCGTATTTAGTGGCTTAGGGCTAGGAGGTAACCATATTTAAATATTTTGCTATAAATATTAAAAGGTATCTATCGAATATAATTTTTTTAAATGATATTTATTTAAAATAAATAAGGTGTTAACCTTTGCTATAGAAGGTAAAAATTTCTTCCTTTTTCATAGGCACTTTTGTTCTTTCCATTAGCCACTATTATGATACTACTTTTTTTTTTTGCTGACTTTTTGTTTACCTTTTTCTTAAAACTATTTTTTTTTACTTTATCTAAATCACTATATGAATGAAAGAAAAAGAAAATCTACTTAAAAAGGAACTCCAAAGTTGTGATGACCCAAAAGGTTATCTTCTGTTTTCGAACCCGAATCCGTGTTCCGAGCCCTTATAAACCTCATGTATTTCTCCTCAATTTATGTGCGCAGTCCGGGCGTGATTCCGGAAAGTCTTTATTTGGAAAATTTATAAAATAATAATTTTTGTCCTAAAAAGTTGATTTTTGTTTACTTCGGTCAACGTTTTGGGTAAACAGATCTGGACCCGTGATTTGACGGTCCCAGTAGGCCCGTAGTAAAATATAAGACCTCGGCGTACGCCCATAATCAAATTCAGAGGTACTAAGCCCGAGAAATAAATTTTTGATGAAAATTGTAAGACTGAAATTATAATGATTTAAAGAAATTGATTAATGTTTGATCTCGTCGGTATCACGCCCGTATGTTGGTTCCGGAGTTTGGTACAGGTTAATATGATATTTAAGTCATATATGTGAAATTTGTGAAAACGGAATTTATTTGACATGATTCGGATCTTTGGTTGAAAAGTTAGAAGTTTTAAAACTCTCTTAATGATTTCCTGCAATTTGGTGTTAAATCCGTAGTTCTAGGGGTTATTTTGGCGATTTGATCGCCCGAGCAAGTTCATATGATGTGTTGAGATGTGTGTGCGTGTTTGCTTTGGATCCCTGAGGGCTCGAGTAAGTTTCGAATAGGCTACGGGGTGTCTTGACTTAGGAAAAGACCTAGTGTTGGATAGTTGTGGAAATTGCAGGTCTCACCTCTTAGGAGTGCGGCCGCAGAGTAAAATCCGCAGACCGCGGTAGAAGAACGTTGCTGTAGTGGGAACTTTGCGGACAGTGGGTTGAAGAACGAGGGGGGG